TCCTTTAATCGACTATTTGGCCGTACAACCTAAAATTTCATAAAAGTTCAGTGTTTTATTCCGACTCACTTTTACTAGTGGCATTTATATTTCGAAATTATACATATTCTGCAATTTCTGTTTAAAATTCTCGTTCGTGATCTATAAATTTGGGACAATTTTCCCTCTTTCCACATATTGGAAGGAATATGACAACAAGATCTGTGTATTTTAATCGCAATAACTGAGAATTTGATTAATTTATGATATAACCAAAAATTGAGTGCGGGAACATTATAAGTGTTGGTTGTGTTATCCTTGTCCGACAAATCACAGTATAATTTACTAAAAGTTTTCCATAAGTATCTTTTAAAAGTCATATTAACTTGTAAATTGTTTAATTGTTATATATATTTTTTTTTTGTCATAATACTGTCTGTTATTGTTGTTTTTATAATTTGGCCGTTAAAATGTTAAAATTTTGAAATTGTCAGCATATAGTAACATTACACATTATTTTGAACATTACACATAAATTGCCATAAAATGAGAAAAGAACTTTAACATTTCATCTATTTCAATAACTCAAATCCATGGACAACAGGCCTGCTGTATCATCGGACTCAAGATTGGTGAGTGTTTTTGAATTTATTTAACTTTGTTCTTTTTCTCATTTTTTTAATACAAATGACACAATATTTTGTTTAACTAACATGTTTCATTGTTATGTTAACAACATAATAATATTCTGTAAAACTTAAATTATTATTTAACAAACCCTTTTAATGTTAATTATTAACATAACATAAGTATGTTATATTGAAACCCAATAGATTTCAATAACATATGAGGAAAACATTATTTACATTATTTTAATTTAATTTCAATTCTAACAAACTCAATGTTAATAACATTATTATTATTTGTTTTTAAGACATTTCAAATATGAATATTATTAATTTGAATATGAAATCTTGTTTAAATTTTATCAATTTTATTAAATAAATTTTGTTTACATTTATAATGTTTTAAATATATATCGTTAATTATTCCACGAAAGGTTTAGAAAACAGCTAGTTACTGAATTTGGGCTATCTTATGGGGTTAAGCAAAGATAGCAAAGGTAGGGAGGGTAAAGAACATTAAGGGGTAACATCATCTAATTCCCCTTTACAGTATGCTTCACGATATTAACATCTTTCGTTTGTATCTTCTTTATTTTTTTGTTTGGTTTGTTTTGTTTCAAGTTTTAGTTTTTTTTGTTTATGTTGGTACTAATGTTGGAAAAATTATGCAGCTACCTACATATATCTTTAATTATTTGTAACTGGGCATTCTATTTTCGGAAAACAAGTTATCCACTCCATTTTCCCTGAGCACAGCCGGAACCATAGGTAGCATATCGTTTTCTTGAAGTTAGAAGTCGTTTTCGTCCGTTACACGACACTCCAAAGGAAAAATCGGACTCTCTCAGAAGATCTGAGGCAAAGAGGATCAGGTCTCCCGAAGAGTTGACAACAGAGAATAAACCTAAGAAGAAAAAGAGCTCCCCGTCTTCTAATACACAGTCGAAGCCAAGCCATACTTCACTCAAAGGAACCTCAAGTCAGAATCCTGAGAGTAAGGGTGACAACGCCAAGATAGATATTCCGAAGACGATCACGTCGGCGAAATCAACATCGAAGGTAAGGGTATCTCAAAAGAAACCCCGAAAAGCGAGGAAAGGTAGGCTTGACAGTGGAAAAGGAAAAGAGCCGCCATCTTACGCCAAAGTTGCCAAAAGGAGACACCGGGACGATCTCTGTTATGCAGTTTACGATGCCGGTAATCCGACAGGCAAAATTCTAATAGACCAACAGAGTAAGGTAGAAGATCTCGTGAACAATAAGATAGTGGACCACGCAATCGCTTCAAAGGGCCAACAACCAATAGAGAGCGTGAGCTGCGAGTTCAGAATGGGCGTGATGTTGATGAGGTTGGCATCTCACCAATGTGTGAGCACCCTAAAGAACTTGGTAGAAAGTATCCCTCCTCCCTGGGACGGCGATAAGTTGGGACTGGCAAAGAAGAGCGAGCTTCCGGTGCTCTTATAGTCCACTATCTACATAAAAGGATGGGGCAGTAAACTGGCTAATGAACGTATACTGGAAAATCTTGGTGGTCAAAATGCTGAGCTGGCCGTGGAAAAATGGGACGTCTTTTACAGGAAAGAAGAACCTGAGGGAAATTTATTTGTAATAGGTATCGACCAGAAATCTATGGCTAGTCTTGCCAAGAATAAAGGTAGGGCTTACTTCGCCTCTAAAGCTGTCATATTCAAAATTGGGAAGGTGCCGATTGGAAGGGCTGTTACAACAAGCCTCGAAAAGGACACTAAAATACCTAAGACCACAGCATCAGTAGCAACTACTGATAACGTTAAGGTGTCAAATCCTAAAAGCGAGGAAGATACCACTAACTCGCCAAAAGAAGGTGAAGCTGCCCTTTCCAAAATTGGGGAGGTGCCGATTGAAAGGGATGTCAAAACCGGACCCGATAAGGACACCAAAACACCTAAGACGGTACCCAAAGCATCATTAGCAAGTACTGGTAATTTTGAGGAGTCAAATCCTAAAAGCGAGGAGGAAATCCCTCACTCGCCAGAAGACAGAACAGCAGTGCTGTCCAAAATTGGGAAAGTGTCGATTGAAAAGACTGCTCTTCCTATGCCTGATAAGGACACCGCAGTGCCATCAATGGTACCCACTGCATCAATAGCCACTTCAGGTTACCCGGAGGAGTCAAATCCAACGAGCGTAGATGTGATCACTAGCTCGCTGGAAGACAGTTTAAATGGATGACAATGATTGAGGTTATCCAAATAAACCTCCATCGGAGCTAGACAGCTACCAACGCTCTGATGGCTAAAATTAACACAGGTAAGATACATATAGCTTTAATCCAGGAACCTTGGACGATTCGCAACAAGGTTTCTGGATTAAATCACGTAAATTTCCAACTTTTCTACGCTGATACAGGGTCTCGACCGATAACATGTATCTTATGTCACAAGAATTTATGTTTTCTCCTCTCAACAGGATTATCCACATCGGATGCAACGGTACTGAAGCAAGGTCGTGGCAACATATACCTTGCATCTGTTTACCTGCCTTTCGATTCTCCGACACTACCACCAACGTCGGAGCTGATGAAACTGGTCGAAGAGGCACAAAAGCAAAATAAGAAAATTGTAATAGGTTGTGATGCCAACTCCCACCATGTTGCTTGGGATAGTACAAACACCAATCGCAGGGGACAAGCCCTTATGGATTTCCTTAATACTAAAGACTTGATCACATCGAACTTAGGTAATAAAGCTACCTTCGTCAATAGAATCAGAGAAGAAGTATTAGATATAACTATATGTTCAGAAGAGCTTATAAACGAAATTCAGGATTGGAGAGTTTCGGACCATCGGTACATAAGATTCAAAATACTACGGCCGCCACCAAAGCCGATAAAGTTTCGGAATAAGTCTAAAACTAATTGGACAATGTTCGGTTCCTTACTAAAGAACCGTTTATGTCAGAACACTTTTCAATGTCGAAATAAAGAGGGCATAGACGCCAAAGTAGAAATGCTCACAAGTGCCTTGGTTGAATCGTTCGAGGACAGCTGCCCTCTGCGAGAGCGGAGATCTGCCCAGGAGAAACCCTGGGTAACCGGGGAGATCCGGAACCTTGGTAAGACTCTTCGCAAACTATTTAACCGGGCACGGCGTAAAAAGACCGCAGTATACTGGGATGAGTATGGTAGTAAACTTAAAAAAAAATCCTATCCAAAACTCATGTCCAACCAGAATCTATGGTCGATGATACGGGCAGGAGGCTGGAGGATATGGAGGAGACAATGAAACTCCTAATTGACTCTCATTTTCCACCCGGTATATCGAATAAGATAGATGAACCGATATTGGAGGAAGGAGAGTCTAACACGGAAATTGTAATTACATCTGATATGGTTAAAGGGGCAATCAAGAGCTTCGCTCCCTATAAAGCTGCTGGGCCGGATGGCATTTTCCCGGCACTCTTACAGATGGAGGCAGGACTGGTTTCCGTACATCTGTCTCATATATTCACTGCATGCTTGAAATTCACATATACTCCCATAAAATGGCAGGATGAAAGGGTAATATTTACACCTAAACCAGGACACCTAAGTCTTATCGACCGATGAGTCTTACGTCATTCCTACTTAAAACCTTGGAACAGATAGTTGATAGTATGGTGAAAAGCAGTATACCCGACAAAGACCTAAAATTTAAGCAGCATGCTTATGTAAAGGGACGATCGGTGGAAACCGCTTTAATCGAAGTTGTCCACTACATAGGTGCATCCTTTGATAGCAAACTGTATACACTGGCGGTATGCATTGACATCGAAGGCGCCTTCAATAACGTGCACACTGATACCCTTATACAATCCCTAGACCAGTTTTATGTTGACCGGGTGCTCCGTAACTGGATCAACCACATGCTAAGGAACAGATGGATAAGCTGCGAGATGTACGATATAACTATCAGGAAAAAGGTATTTCGCGGTATACCACAGGGTGGCATTTTGTCACCTTTACTCTGGGTTACCATGATTAATAGCCTCCTAAGGACCCTAAATTAAATATTTATTTTCTTTATTGTCAATTATATTAAATTTTAAAATTTAAACTCAAAAACAAAGAACATTTTTATAAAAAACCATAAACCAACCTGCTAAGCCACTGCAACACCGACTCCATCCAACGAGGGAGAAGCTGTTTTCCAGCACCACCAAGCCTGGGGTGCTTTGGTTTTTTTTTTTGGTTTTCCGACCTTTTGTAAGTTTTTACCTAGACGACAAGACGGACGTACAAAATTCCTTTTCTTTATAAAAAAAATTATTAGCTAGGACAAGATAACTTTATTCTTGAGGAATCCTTACCTCGTATTGCTTGACCGCCACCATCCCGCGTCAAATTCTCATTCAAACCACGCGAACATTAAGGTAGAGCTCTGGCCTAGAATTATAGTAGTTTAAGGTGTTTGAGTCCTAGGTTTCCTGTAATATTATAAAGGTAGTTTCCCTGAAAATAAATAAAAGGAATAAGGTGAAAACAAATATATTTTGTTTACTTACCCGATTTACCCGAACGGACACTAATACGGACAGGAAAGCCTCATCCGCCTCTTCCCGCTCTATAATTGCCTTATGTAAACCAGCTAGTTGCCGCAGAAAAGCATTTGCCAAAGCGAAATTATGAACCTTTGAAACGTAAACATAAATTTGAGAGCATAAATTTAAACCTAAATTTAAACCTAAACCTAAAACTAAAGCTAAATCTAAATTTTAAATTTTTAAACCTAAACCTAAATCTAAAACTAAAGCTAAATTTAAACCTAAAGCTAAATCTAAATTTAAACCTAAAGCTAAATTGTAAAGCCTAAAGCTGAACTTAAAATTAAAACTAAACTAAATTTTTAATCTAAATCTAATATTGTTAAAGTTTACTTGGAATAATTACGATAATAAAATCTAACGTTTATAATATTTAAATGAATTCTTTAAAAGTCTTAATCAATTAAAATGATCGGCTAAATATAATATAACCGGCGGTAAGTAGGGAAAGGAAAGTTTGCAGGGTAAATTTTGGGACTTCCCTAATTGTAGCGACGTCGTCGGACGAAATAGTAAATTTAGTTTTTACTTTTCTCCATTTCAATAGATGGGAAGCTATAATTGTGCATGGTCAATATTGTGCATATCTACGTAAGTCCCGAACAGCAGGACAACCCTAGTCTAGTTCACGTTGCGACTTGTTGTATGAACAATATGGTCATGCAGAATTATAGATTCTTCAAAAAACGATCCTTTCCAAACAATTTGAGGCTCTCAGAATAGCTTTCCATAGCAAATCTGAGAAAGCTCAAGTTGTGAAGAAAGAATAGCTAAGGCCAGCACCCTCTTTAGCAATAGTCCATAGAGTATTTGTTTTAAAAACATGCGTTTTGTCCGCAGTGAAGTAGTAAGGGTAGTCCTAGAGGTTCTAGGTTATCAAACCATCTTCTAGTTGCACCTTTAAAAATTTTCTGTGGAAAAGAACTACTAAATGTTTATCCATTTTACTTTTTCCTTGTCTGCATCTCCTGAAACCAAAATAGAAAATAAACAATTAGAAACATATCTACGAACAATAATACTTTTTTACATTACCTGCAAACTTTACTTTCCTGAAATACACCGCCGATGTTAGATTTTAATTAGATTTGGTTTAGAAAGATTTCAAGATTTATCTTTGGTCCTTTTGGATTGAGATTTTAAGTTTCTTTGTAGAACGAGTTTTGAGAGTTTTTACAATGGTGTAATGAAGCTAAGAAATCAACAGCGAAATCCCTATTCTGAACGAGACCTAGTGGAGATTATGAAAAGTAATCTAAAGCCGTCATTGTCACATCTACTATTTTCCGTGACCACTTCTAGTCTCAATGAGTTCTGTTAACAGGCGAAAAGAGCCGAAAATTTAATCAACAGTCAAAGACAGACTTTCCAGTCTAGACAACCCGTTCCAGCTCGATTCCATGAACTCCAGGTTGGAGATGAAGTCCCTATACCAATCCTCGAAATCGACGCCTTAGCCACTAGTAGCCGGTATATTTGCTGGAATTGTAAGCAGCCAGGCCATAGTTTCGTGGATTGTCCTTCACCTAATAGACGTATATTTTGTTTTAGATGTGTTAGGGATGATGTAGTCACGCCTAAGTGCCCTAAATGCCAGGGAAACCTGAAGGGGAGCGAGTTCCAAACGGGGGAGACTCGTTCAAACTAAGCCTAATCCCGGATGATACACCGTTCAGACCTTCCCAAATTCTAATTAATTCAGTACGTTTGACTCCTGAAGCTGAAAAGCCACAAGTTCACGTAATTAAACCACTACATCAGAGAATACATGAATATAATGAAGCAAAGTTAAGAATTTTCGGGCAGGTCTCTAACAAGATAAAGAAAGCTAGGCAGCGGTACAAGATTAGAAAAAGTATAAAGCATGAAATAACGTCAACAAGTTTGTATGAAGGTAAAGATGCCAGAATTTATTTGAAAATTCCTATATATGGGCATGAGGTTGATGGTCTATTGGACAGTGGAGCTACCGTTTCCTGTCTGGGTAAAGGTTGTATGGTGTTAGTGGAGAGTACGGGTCTACCAGTCAAAAAGTTTCTGTCCTACGTTAAAACGGCCGATGGCAGTCCACATAAAATTGTTGGAAGGGTAAAAACGGTCATAAAATTTTATAATCATTCTAATGAAGTTACCTTATATTTGGTACCAACACTCGGAGTCTATTTTTAGGGGTAGATTTTTTTATGAAAAGTTTTGGTCTGTTTCCTAGTCTATGTAGCATTACTACTAATGGGGTTAATTTGTGTCCGGAGTCTGAGGAGACGAAGGATGTAACCAAAACCCATATTCATACTCCTGAGCAAAATGCGTCGTTAGAGGTCGTTGTAGCAAAATTTCCGTGCTTTACCAAGAGAGGTATTAGTCAGACTATCCTCTCGTGCTGAGAGGATCACTTTGTCTGGAGATCGTATCTCCAGACTTTGAAACTCACCTGGAGTTGCTGGATCGGGTAGCGCTTTGTCTGGATTCGACGGGTCTGACCATCAACGTAGGGAAGTCAAAATTTTGCTTCAAAGAGTTGAAGTACATAGGGTATATAGTAGGAGGAGGGAAGTTAAAGCCTCACCCAGATAAGATAGATACGATTTTAAAATATACCTACCCAAAAACCGCCAAACAGGTCCGAAGCTTCATGGGAGCTACGGGTTGGTATAGGCGCTTCATCCCCGACTACGCTTTCATATCAACAACTATTTCTAACACACTTAAGAAAGGAAAAGGTTTCAACTTTCCGGACGAAGCTAAGGAAGCCTTCGACAAGCTAAAATCCGCCCTCACAACAGCACCAGTGCTTATGCATCCCGATTTCAACAGGCACTTTTATGTCCAATGCGATGCATGAGACATAGGTTTGGGAGCAGTTCTGTTCCAGAAGGATGAAAACGACGGCGAACATCCAGTAGCTTTCTTCTCTCATAAATTGACCAGCGCACAGAAGAACTATTCGGTTACCGGTTAAGGGAATTTTTCTACTGACCCAACCAGAATGTTCAGGTCCGATCATTTGTGGCCAATTGCCAAACCTGTCGCGAGATACCACCCGCGAATTCGATCCTAAGACCACAAATGGGAACGACCGTTCCGTTGTAGATTCCGTTTTTGCTATGCCGAAAGCTAACACGAAAAACGTCATCAAGTTTCTAATATCCGAAGTGTTCCACAAATTTCGTACACCTGAGACGATTTTGTCCGATAAATTAGTAAAGAGTTTCAGGATATAGTAACGAATTTTGGCGTAAAGCATGTAAAAACTGCCACACACTGGTCACAAGCCGACGCTTCGGAACGGGTTAACCAGTCCATCCTGTCCGCAATTCGTTCCTACCTGCAGGAGGACCACACTGAGTGGGATAAGTACCTGTCCGAAATTGAGTTTTCGCTGCGGTCGTCAGTCCAAACGTCTATTGGAGTTACGCCGTACTTCGCACTGTTCGGTATGAATATGATTTCGCACGGAAGTGTATATAAGCTTGCTAAGAAACTACAATGTCTTCATGATCCGGAAATCGATATAGTACCAAAACCCATAAAAATGAACTTAGTACGGCACAAAATTCGTGAGAATCTGCACAAAACTTATTTGAAAAACGAGAAGACATACAATACCCGTTGCCGTCAAGTCAAGTTTGCACCAGGTCAAGAGGTTTATCGCCGCAACTTTCAGCAAAGCGATTTCAAAAATAATTTTAATGCTAAACTAGCCAAGAAATATTTAAAATGCCGAATTGTCAGACCTATTGGTAATAGCTAACGTGACCAGACATCCCGCCAAAAGCGGGATTATCCCGCTTTTTAAAGGTTGATCCCGACTTAGATTTCAATCCCGCCTTTTTAATAACAAATCCCGCTTTTTGCTACAAATCCCGCTTTTAACAGGTCTATTGTCCTTAATTTTATTGTAATCAAAAAAGTTTAAAAGTTAAAAATAAAAAAAGTTGATTTTTAAAGTTAATGGTCTAAAAAAATTATTATTTTAAGTGACAAATGAAGATTGACTTTTTGGACCCATGACTTTTAACTTATAAAGCTGGAAAATTGAATTTATTCTCACATAAAGTGATTGTGTATCTGTTCTATCAGAACACACTAATATTTAACAATCAGGAGAAAAATCAAGTAAGAAATCATAGTCGGGCGTGACCGACCATATTATACCCTACACCAGTTATAAATATTAAATGTGATTTATTTTTCATAATAAAGCATATATCTTCAATATTACCTTGTTCCGATACATTTAAACAATTTATGGATGAAAAACTAATTTTCTGAAAGAGGCTTTATATGGGGGCTAGAGGCAAATGTGGACCAAGTCCGATAAAATTTTGTGAATATTTTTATATTTATATAACATTTATTTATGCTGAATTTCATCGTGATATTTTTGTTTATAAGTTAATTTTGGACATTTAAGTAATTTTCTGAAGGGGACTGTGTATGGGGGCTAGGGTCAAATAAAGTCCGATAATTACGGAAATCGGTAGTATTATTAAGACGTATATAGAACTAAGTTTTGCCGATTTTTGTAGAGATACTACAATATTTAACATAATTATGAACTTAAAAGCCCAAATCGGGAGGTACGGTTGTATGGGGGCTAGGTGAAATAATGGACCGACTTCAACCATTTTCAATAGGCTTCGTCCCAGTGCTAAAGACCATGCTTGGTGCAAATTTCATCAAATTATCTTGAAAATTGCGGCCTGTACCTTGCGTACAAGGTTTACATGGACAGCCAGCCGGACAGACGGACGAAGATGGCTTAATCGAATCAGAAAGTGATACTGAGTCGATCGGTATACTTTAAGGTGTAGGACTAATATTTTGTGCGTTACAAACATCAGCACAAACGTATAATACCCTCCCCACTTTGATGGTGTAGGGTATAATTAGTTCTATTTGTGGTCTCATTCTGATTTGTTTTATTTTTTTAACAAATATTTCAGAGTGATTTTATCGAATTTTTCTTATACACTATGATTCCTAGATTTTAGGCAGAATATTCGAGGAACATATGAAAACTGCTGTATAAAAAGTTTAATTTATACTGATTTTTTAATAACACAGGCCAACAAAAAATTTTATAA